AGTCCTCGGCCTCCTTCCTTACGGCTGGCATACAGTCTCAGGGTGCTGGATTTGGGGTGGTTCCCTCCATGCATGGTTAGGAGCTTTTGTGTCTTAGCATATATATTTATATATTATTTATACAGCACCTTTCACAGACCAAAGCAACAAAGTGCTTCACAAAACAGTTTAAAAAACACAATATGAAAGGCAAAGACAACAGGAAACCATAGCAGCCCAAAATAAGTATAATTTTTCAATACATGTATCAATAATTTAGATTCTTCAAAAGGAAAAGGAACTAGTTATTCAGAATGCCATTCATTTTATCTGCAATCCCATTTTAGAAATCCTAAACCTGATTCCTTCTTTATGGGCCTTTCAGCTTCAGGCATCCATAAATTAATACTTCTGATTTCTATGTTAATTATTTAATAAGTCTGCTTAATATTTCTACTACTTACACTTTTTTGTAGTTCTTTATCCTTTGTAGAACCAGAACCATAATATAATGTTAATTGAGTAATCACATACGTGAGCCAAATGTCACTAAACCTTGTTTGTATGTTTTTACTTATGTCTCTTTGATTAAATGTACAATTATTTTTTTTTACTTATTTCGGAGAAAAAGCTAGGCTGATAATGATGTTTTTAAAGTCATCACAACCTCTTCGGATACGTTTATTTGTAGAATTCAGCTTTAGAAAACAAGATTGATAAATATCTGAGACCTAACGTGTGGCTAAACCAAGATTTGGCCTTGACTTGAACAATGTTTCGCAAATTGTGCCAATGAACAGCAGCTGGTGTTTAAATTTTAAAGTTTGTGTTTTTCACCTCATGCATAAGATCCAACTCTACTAGAAACAAATGAGGGTTAAAAAAAAAGAAAAAGAAGCAGGAAAGCTTCATTTTTACATGCTGTACACTATTCTGTACAGCAGGTGGCAATGTTGCTTTCTAATTAGTGCAATTATTAGGTAAATATGCTGCCATATCCCATGATGCTTTAAATTATATGAATAAGAGATGCTGTAAATTTACATGGAGGAAGACAAAAGCTATTTAAAATTTGTTCTATCATCTCTTGTAATAAGCATTGACATTTAGTCCTTAAATTAATACAACATTCACAACATTGAAAAGTAAAAAGTTTACCAAACACCATCATCAGTAGAAAACTTCATACCAAACATGTTTTTTTGTTTTTGTTTTTTTTTATCCTTTCATAACTTTTATCATCAGAGGATATTTCTCTTTTGGTAATTAATTTGTAAAGATAAAGATAATTTTTACGTGCAATTTTATATATAAAAAAAAATTAATCCAAAATATATATATATATATATATATATATATATATATATATATATATATATATATATATATATATATATATATATAGAGATTAAGGAAAGCATTATTTATTTATCTACAGAATACAACATAAAAACATAGAATTTGATGTAAAGTCATGTTGCTATACACACTCATGTACAGTAGGTGGCGGTATGCAGCTATACGCTGTTTACCTTCCACCAAGCTAACACAGTCACATCTCCACTTAGAATTGGTCATACTGGACTTAATAGTTCTCTTTTCAGAATAGGGAAACAGAACACAGGGACTTGTAATCACTATCAGATGGAAACAGTGGGACAGGTATTATTAGAATGTTCACAGGAACGTCAGCGTTTAAAGTCAACACTTAATAGAGAAAAAAAAAAGATTTTCAATGATAAACCTTTTAGGAAGTACATCTGATTCTACTAGAAATCAGCTAATTCCATTTAAAAAAACACTCGATTAATTAAATCGTATTTAAATCAAGAATATAGGCGTGTGTATGCATGTGAATATACACACATATTAATTTATATGTGAGTTTGTATTGACATCATTTATAACCACTCTCCAGTCTGGTAGGTGGCGGTAAATGCACCTTAAGTTGGTTGCCAGCCGCCAATAAAAAAAAAAAAACATAAGAAAAAGAATAAGAAAAAGAAGAATCTAACAAAGAAGAAGAAGAAGAAGGGAGTATTTAAATAATCCCTTTATATGCTTCTATTTATTATTACTATTTTTACTTTTATTTTTTTATATTTTTTTCTTTTGCTCAAACCCCTCGTGACTGTTCATTGTAAATTGTTCCTTTTTCTGTATTATAAAACGTTTTCCAATAAAGTTTATTAAAATCCAAAAAAAAGAAGAAGAAGAAGAGGAAGGACGCTTTCGGTCACGTGACCTCCTCTCACAGGACGCGCCAAAGCCAAACGTCCCATCTGTGAAAACTGTTTCATTTCTCAGACTCAGTGGAAATCCTGTTTCACAATGGAGGAATCAGAGCGCATCAGCATGATGATGATGTATGAGGACGAGTCGGTGGAAGTTCGTTATAGAAACGGCGCTCAGCTCCAGCTGTCACCGTGTGGCAGTGAATTCCTCCTGCTTAAAGTCACAGATCCTCACAGACATCCTCTGCAGCCCACCGAGCGAGTCCGACAGAGGACCAGGTTTACTATTAGTGCTTATAAGGTAGAAGAAACCCTGAGTTCCTCTAAGTTTGAGCTTTTAGATTCAAACAACAATTTCAAAGTGTCTTTTTTGTTTTTAAAGGAGCTGATGGTCACCGCCTTGGCATTCAGGAATCAGTATGCCAGTCGGCCTTATCTTCCATCAGAGCTCATCACTGCCAACGAGATCAAGGTGAAGTTCTTCTCATACAAATCTACAACCTATACAGATGCACTGCAATAAATGTAAACATCATGGAGTCATTTATTTAACTAATTTGTATTTATGATAAATCATTCATCACACAATGACATCATTTGGGTATTTATTGCAGTTGATTTGCCAAATTACTGTTTATGGTAGAATAGTTGTCAATTGGCAATGCTGTGATAACATGTCCATCAGGCAGAAATAAAAAGGTGTAATCAAGTAAAGTAAAGTAATCAAGTAAAATCAGGGGCAGCTTAGGTGAACTGGGGCATAAAGAAATCATTTATATTGATTTCTACTGGTTGTGCAGTTTTTACAGGATCCCAAGCAGGGGACCATAGTAACAAATTTAAAATAACCTGAAAGACAGATGAAATAAAAGGAGACTTCTATGTTTTCTCTCAAATTGCATCTGGTTTATTTATAGTGTGGTGTACAATATATAAAGCATATAATTTATAAATGTATAATAGTAGATAGCAATCTTATCCCCAATGCATACATAAACAATTCATACAAAAAAATGCCATATTACAATTTACCAAAATAACAGAAATATCACATATTCACATTCCTAAATATTACTTTTCCAAGGCAAATGTGGCTTAATAGGGTACTTTAACTAGGCCATATTGCAATTAAAGATGTAACTGTATATATATTGGACTAACACATTCAAACTGCATTTGATTACTAAGGCTACAAGACATAAGAATTACTTTAAATCATTTAAACTAAACAGCAATGACCATTTACAAAACCATTTGTAAACCCTGTGTGTGTGGACTAATTCATACTTCTCAACATAATCGCATAAACGAGTGTTGGAGCTCAACATGCCACGCCACATGAACATGGACCAAGAGACGGCAGGCAGCCGCTTGCTGCTCCGCCACTCCAGTCCTCCGCAACAGCCCGCCAGGCCCAAGCCAGCTGCCCCGATCAACGGCAAACTTTCTATTTACACTTTTATTGTTAGAGTATAAACAACACCACAATCGGTTATAAAACAGACATTAAGGAAAAGGGTAATACTCCCACAAGTAAAGATGGACAGTTTACCCATTACTGACCTGAAAGACAGATAAAATAAAAGGAGACTCAGGTACAGCAACTTTCTACGTTTTCTCCCAAATTGCATCTGGGAGCATGCAGAGCTCCGTTCCCATAGTAACCGGAATGCAAATGTTTGTGCCACATATTATAGCGTAAATATATATATTAGGGGTGGAACGGTTCACAAAATCCACTGTTCGATTCGGTTCACGGTTTCGTGGTCACGGTTTTCGGTTCGGTATATGTTGATTGTTACACCGAAATCCCATAAAAATTAATGAAATTAATAAAAAAATCCAAAAAAATTTATGAATTGTAATTATTTTAAATGATCTGCGGAAACCCTGGATCATTTCCGCATGTTTTGCTGCTTTGAATTTAATCATCTCGTGCATGCCCTCTACCATCTACAAGGAACTCAGAGCGGAGCGCTGACGGAGTATGTGGGGTTTCGGGGTTAGCATGACGTGTTGGTCATGTTGCTGTTAGCATAAACAAAACGTGTTGCACAATGCTTGCACACTGTTGCACTTTTATCCACAACTTTCTTTTCGCCGTCATCGTAGGTCACTCTAAATGCAAAGCGGTCCCATACAGCAGACCTATAAAGTGCTGCTGGCGCGTCTTCCAACTCCTGTTCTTTCCCACTCGCCATACCCACATAATTCTCCACAACAACTGATTTTTTTCTGCTACACCCGGCTATGCTGCTTCGCTTCTTCTTCTTCTTGTTTACTACTGGTGGTTGGCTTTGGTCGCAGTACCGCCACCTTCTGCTCTGGAGTGTATACCCTTCGCCTATGAGAAAAAGGAGCAGCGCATGAACCGAACGCAACACACGCGAACCGAACTGAGACAGTCGAACCGAACGGTTCGGACGGTTTTCATAAACCATTCCATCCCTAATACATAGACATCATATTTATTTAATAATAAACATATAACCAATGTGGTCACCTGTTTTGGGTGCGCCACACAGCATTGGCTAATACCATACAGATACCATCTGTTTGAAATTGATGTGTGTGTGTATATATGAAGAACTGCATACTACTTGGATGTAAAATAATTGCCATCATGGCTTTGACAAGCTGCTGCCTGCCTTTGTGAAGCAGGAAAAAGACTAATACAAAGTGCTCAAAACGTATCTTCTGTAATGAATGTAACGTTTGAGTTTCATTCTTTGAAACTGAATCGGTTAAATACACGACTCCCTGATGCGCCTGCATTTTGAATTAAATCCTTTTAACATTGTTGGTCTCTCCCTCGACAGCCTTTTTTCACTATTGACTGCAGCGTTACATGGCCTGAGTGGTCCTCTTATGAGCCCGAGTTTGGACCTGCAGGCGAGATCACCGTTAGGTCAGAGGAGGGCCGAGCTGCATTGGTGCTGTCGCCCTCAGGTGAGGAGTTCTCTGTGGAATTCACCTGTAACCTCAGTCGACCTCTGCAGCAAACTGGATGGGGTTTAAACAAAGATGCTGATGGTGGCCTGAAGGGTCTGCAGCAAGAAAACAATCTGATTTGCAGAAATACTGATGATCAGGAAGAACAGATGCATCCCGGGAAGCAGTCTGTTTCTGCAAATCTGAAAATCACTAATCAACCAAAGGTATTACCTTAGAATCAATGTTTTTTTTAGGTCATGTTTGATTTGATTATTAACTTATTTTCTGCTTCAGCCTGAACAGATGTACCAGACCACCACAGTTATAAAGCATCACTCTTGCATCGCCGTTGACCCTGCATGGACCTATGCTCTTTCTTTAGCTCGGCATCACTGGACATCCTGCTTCTCCAACAGTACAGTCACAACAGCTGAAGAAGCCAGGCAGGCTGGCGAGGGAAGGGAAATATCTGACAAAAATCCTAACAACAGAGTGTGCCAGCTTCCCCAGGCTCTTCCTCTTTCATGTCCATCACCTCATTGGCATAGGTTTGTGGATCCAGCATGTTTCGCACGGTTTTATTTGCTTAAATTCCAAATTTAACCCAGAATTTGTGCTTTGTAGGTGGAAGATGAAAGACTCTCTCCTTGGAGAAGAAGAGTCGGATCTGCCTATGGAGCTTGTAAAAATTGTATGGTGTCAAGGAGTCACATACAGGTATGTGTAGAAAGAGTTAAAAGCACATAAAACAGACATTGAAGGTTGTTTCAATTTGATGTCAAGAACATTTGGACAACTTGGGTTTTACCTCCTGAGTTAAAGCCGGGTTACGCTGTGCGATTGTTTTCAGTCGTTGCACGCAGCTGCTGCTCACACTGTACAACTAACCGCAGGGTTTAGTCGTACAGTGTGAGCTCCCAGCTTACGATTTATGTTCAGCCCGACGCTCTGATGCAATCTACCTGCTCACACTGTACAACTAAAAACGGACTGAGCTCTCTATCTGTAGCTCTCTATCCTGAAGCCAAACAAATACAAGGGGAATATTAAGCTCACTATTGTGAACCGTGTTGCCTTGGCAATTTGTGCAATTTTGTGCTGAAAGCCCTGTAAAGAAAAGGCGACAACATATTTGGAAAAAAGACATGGCTGAGTTGTGTTTACATAGCTCAGCTGTGTTTACGTCTGAGAGGAAGAATAAAAATAAGAATCCTTCTTTGCAAATGCGCCCTGAGTGAATTGCCCACAACGGCCCACAACTCACGATTCCTGATCTGCAGGTGGTCGTGAGAGGCTGATCGCCCCTTGTTACCCCCCGTACACCACACAACGCACAATCAGGCTGTAAGTTGGCCCGTTCCAAAGATTCTCACACAACTGGAGTAAATTGCACACTGTACGCCAAGCTTAATCCTGTCCTTCAGCAATCCACAATGGAAGAATGCATTTTAGTTACTTGCTTTATAGCTGGGAGTCCAAATCCTTCATAATCAGAAGAGATATCCACGTGTGAAGGTTAAGAAGTAAGAACTCCAAATAAGCCCTGACCTAAAAATCCTATATGCACCCCTGCACATAACATTTAAATTTTAGCTTTGTGTTTTTAACAGTTAATTTGCACTGATGATGTGCATCTAAAATTCTTCACATCTTTGCTGAAAATAAATCTGCAGTGCTGGTCTGGACCACCTGTGGAGCTAGTTAACGGTTACCATTAGTATCTCTGCTTCTGTCTCCTTGAACCCCAGTTGGCCTCAGCAGATGACCACTCACCCTGAGCCTCGTTCCGCCGGACG